TCTCATGACCACTTTTTGCCCTCTATCGAATGGCATAATCAATTTTCATATGTAACGTTTCGTCTCTCCAGGACCAACATCAACTTCATTTTTTTAAATACGACCTAGAAATTTTATTACATTTTTATATATATTACTGTACTGCCTCAGCCCGAACCAGATTCAGACGTTTTGTCTCGAAAAATTCATCTTCAGGTATTCGTTCCAAATTTATCTAATTTTTTGTTTATTGAATTATCGTACAATGTAAGTGTCGTTAGTCCCTGTGAAATCCATCTAGTTATTTAAACTATTACCACCACGCGTTACAATAAAACATTTCTAGGGTCGTATTTAAAGAAAATGAAGTTGATGATGGTCCTGGAGAGACGAAACGTTACATATAAAAATTGATCATGCCAATCGATAGAGGGCAAAAAGTGACCATGAGAAAGTGTTCTTGTTTTTTCAGTATTATCTCAAACAAGGCTGAAATGAATCAAAAACGGATTTCCAAAATTTCGGTTTTCTTCAAATATTTCGAAAACTGATCATGTTAGCCTTGATTTTTTAGAGGCATAATGTTGGTCCCCTGATTACGCAACTTTGCCCCCATTTAAGCTACTTCGTAGCTCTTACCGTTTCCGAGATCCCTGTAGTGAGAAGCGAATTTGTAAAAGCCTGTATATTATATTAGTAGAAATTGCTTTAAGTAAAATATTTTTACCCAAAAATGATCCAAACGCTAATAACTCGGGGTGAGCTGAAATAAATAAAACTTATCTGAAGTTACCTTACTTTTGCGGGTCCTACCCAAATCCGAGAGATAGTCCGCCATTTCTTGGACACCCTGTACAAGAACAGGAATACTTTCGGATATTTTTTTCTCGCTTCATGGACGAAGAAATGAAATTCTATGTCTATAAGTCTTTTGATATTCATATTGTCTTTAACTGGAATATTTTAAATTGCAACATTTTGGATTTATTGAAAATCTGGAATTAACACTAAATGAGCTTTCGTTGCAAACAATGCAAATAGAAAATTTGGAACACGTACTGACCAGATATTCGTCCCTGGTTAACAAGTCGTAAGGTACCAGAGTTAACGTTTGAACACCTCCTATGATGACTCGACAGAAGTCCTGCAGCTTTTTTAAGGGATTCCCCCCACACAAGAATTCAAAAAATCCATACTGGTCATCCAACCTACCTATCTTTATATCTGAATCACGGTTTGAGTTTGCATATCTGATCTATGGCTTGCGAGAGCATTTCTAAAGTTTAGTTTGAGTTCGACTATAGTTTCGTGTTCAGCGCTTAAAAAAACAGAATACAATGGATATGGAATAACGCTCATTATTTTTTTTTGAGCTTGTTTTTTTTTTGGATTGACAGCCTGTTGGGATTTTTAGATTTTTTGGGGGGAATTGAGGGTGTGTGGGAAGGAATTCATACGTCAGATTTTTTTTATCATTATTGAAGAGCTTGGCATGTCAGTCTCGTCTCAATCCCCTTGAACATGGGTATCTACTTTTTGGCTTGCAGACAGATTGGAAAGTGAAGTGAAATTTGAAATTGATTTCTGCCGGGTGCTGAGACAGTTCGGTAACGTCGCTCGGGCACTGCACGGTGATGTGTAGACAACGTTTACTCGATATCAGCAAACACTTTTTTATAGCGATCAATTCGAGTTGCTAGTTATACTTAACGTATAATTTAGTCCCACGTCAGAAAAACCCTCGTAATGGACGTTTCATTGCACCCATTAAAATTAAATCAAGATCCAGATCGGAGTCGAGCGGTACTAAAATATGCACATTAAATTTTTAACCCCGATCCTGCATGTTCCGTAGCTGTAATAACGGCCCCTGCCAGTTTATAAAACGTATCATAACGTATCGATAATGTAATTTGCAATTTAATTGTTTCCAATTTAATTAAAATTACACACCTAAATAAAATCGCCCGCTGCATATTAACGTACACGGGCAACCTATTAAAGTCGTTCAGCTATAATTAATTGCATTAATTTGTTAAACAAAAGCGTATTAAAACAACGGGTTTGTTAATTAGCGGCTGAATATACCGGGAGATTTACGCAGAGGGGCTCATTAATAGGTTAACGTTCCAGGTTTCTTTTGAATTATACAATTATTATTATTAGGAACTTTTATGCTTTCACGTTAAACACAATTTTATTACTTTACAAAAATATTTTGTTCAGGTAAAATAGGTCACTTAAAAAAGTCATCCTTATCAAAATGTTCAAATGTATCAAATTGATTATATGCTTTACCATTTGAGTATTTAAAAAAAAATGTTACTATCTATTTGTAGAGGTACTATATTTCCGATACATGCCTAAATATTCGCATACAATGAAAGATCTTTTTTTTATTTTTGTAGTTAGCAGTGATTTCCCACATCTTCAATATCTCCAATTTTTATTGGAAGTAATTCAGCGCATCGACACGCTCCAGATATGGCAAAAACCATTGCCACCTAAAATAATAATAGTCTGTATTCTTCGTTTACAAAAATATGTTTTTATAATTACGTACCTTTTTTTATTTATTTACTTTTTATTATTTTTGTTTTTTTATTTTCCTTTTATGACAATAAAGTTATTGTATAAGAATGGTCATAAAAAACCTTAGGTCTAACACTTAAAACAAAAAACACATACTATATTCAAAACACATTGCATTAAAATAATCCTCTAGAAAATAAAAACATTTTTCTTTCAGAAAGGATGTCAAACTCTTTTTAAATGCTGTGTCGGTAGTACTTTGTTCTATATTTGTCGGTAACAAATTCTAAGCCCTATAAATCTGGTTGAGTCACCAGTTATTTTTAATGTAGCAGAAGGCTCCTATTACTTTTCCTTTCGTCTAGTATTCACACTGTGATAATGACTATTCAAAGCAAAATTATTCCTATTTTTAAAAACATATATGCTTATCTCTGCTTATGCAGGGAAATGTTAAAATTCCAAGCTTCTTAAATATAGGTTTACAAGAGTGATTTACTTAGTACCCCAACAATACACCGGAAAATCCTTTTCTGATCAATAAAAACACTAGAGCTTAATGTGGAATTGCCCCAGAAACAGACACCATACCTTAAACGTGAGTCAATTTGTGCAAAATATAACATTTTAATTTGTCCCTCATTTATAAATGGTCTAATATTTCGAAATAAATATGCCAAAAAAGAAATTTTCGATATCAAAACTTTACAATGGTACTTCCAATTTAGACATTCATCCAAGTGAATTCCAAGAAATTTAACAGTTTGGTTATATTTAAGTTTAGTTAGTGACACTAACATTGATATCCAAATTGTCACACGGCTTTTGTCTGTTGTGAAATTGAATAACTTGAGTTTTTTTAAGATTCATATTAAACTGATGTTGAGAGAAATAAGTATTTAATGAAGTCAAAATGTGCTTGCGGTTTTGTTGAATTAATTCATTCGATATGTTAGAAACTATTATAGAAATGTCATCTCCATACATTGTAAAATGCGATTGGGGATATTATCATTTATATATAAATAAAAAATATGGGACCCATAACAGACCCTTGAAGAATTCCCATGCTAATATCTACGCTCTTTGATGCCACACTTTTCACTACGTGTTCATGTTCATCAAAATGCTGCAAACTTACATACTGTTTTCGGCCTTCAAGAAAAGTGTCTATCCAATTTAAAGACATTCCTCTAATACCATAGTGAGACAATTTAGACATCAATAACTTGTGATCGACACAGTCGAATGCCCTGCTTAGATCACAATATATATANCTTGTTTTTTTATTTTTGAAAGGAGTGGACCTGACAGTTTGTAGAAACGTTACTTTCTATATATATATATATATGTATACCTACCGTGGCTTATTGAGACAAATATTGTTATCTATTCGAGGTTAGAGCGACAAGGCGGTGTTTATCGCGACGTCGCGCTAAAAATTTATCAAAATGTGTCATTTACTGGTGGTTAGTGTACCATTACAGTGTTGCCATATTTCCGCAATATGTGTATCGTTAACTACCGATAAATGTAGAACGTGTTAGCGCGACTCCTGATAAATTATATATCATGTCAAGTTAAATACCATACCAGTCGCGGTAAAAACCATAATGTGTCACGGTATACATTAACTACCGATAAATGTAGGACGTGTTAGCGCGACTCCTGATAAATTATTATATATCATGTCAAGTTAAATACCATACCAGTCGCGGTAAAAACCATAATTTGTCGCGGTATACATATTTTATCGACGACTAAAAATTTAGTTTTTTACGATCGTGTAAAAAGTTACTACTATTTTTTGCACTAGTGCACAATGTTATTATTACTTATCTATCAGTCTGTAAAATGTCATGACATCCGATATCACCTCTACCCAGACTTCCACTTCTACAAGTGTAAAATGCACATAATAAACCATTCTATATGAATTTATGGATTTATTTCTCATTTAAAAAATGTAAAGTTAAATCTATTGCTTGAAAATCGAAAGCGATAGGAAAAATCTAATATTACCTTATAAAACTTTAAAATTCAAATATATATTCAAATATAAAAATTGAAATTTGTTTGCGAGTATCAGTAAATAAAGCCGTTTAATAGTGTGATAAAATAAAATGAACACGGTATACATACCTAGATATGAATAAATTGACACTTACACAGGGATTAGGGATTTTAACGGTACCAACGAAGATAATATCGTCGATGACGGTACAACCTTTCATCATTTTTTTACATATTTTTTAATTTTAAACAATTGACATGACGACATTTTGGCTATTAGCCTCATCTGGTGGCGAATGGACAAAATTTGTCTGACAAAGAGGCAACCCTGGATCTTGGAGATAGGCAGCGGGATGCGGGGTGGCGCACTTCCTGTCGTGTCGTGTCGTGTGGTTTGTTTGTTCGTTTAGCGCACAGAACATCCCTAACTATTTACTATTTAGCGTTTAGCGTCTTTTTAGCATATAACATGTACAATGTAGAATGTACTTTGTAATTTGTTTTTAATTACGAAAAGTTTTGTGGAGTCGTTTCTATTTTATATGTGATTTGCGACAGTGACGGTTTTGTTTGGCGGTATAGAAAAAGTGTGCATAGTAGTACTGCTTAGTGATATCAACGTTTATTGGAACTACGTTGGTGATACATATTAAGTTTATAAAAACAGACAGTGCAGCAGTCTCAGCCATGTAAGTCTAATTCAAGTTACCCTTGCATAGAGGTGAATAAATGAGCTGTTTAACGTAGGTATTTGTAAAATATTTGTTTCAGATTTCAGATGTATTCTTTAGTGCAATTTGTCGAAGACAGCATCTTGTATGTAACTCCTTCGAAGGGTATCACTTTGATCGAGGGAGATTTAGTATGGGCCCCATATAAGAAAATGGGTTACTATGAAGCCAAGATTATTGCAGTAGATAATGATAAATCTACTTTAATGGAAGCCATGAAAAAAGAGAAGAAAAAACAGGGTAGGTAAAATCTTTTAAACACTTGGTAATTATATATTATAACCTAGATACTTTCTATGATTATAAATTAAGTAGGTAAAGTTTTCCAAGAAGTTAATTTATTTATTTCTCACTTTTTTATCTTAGAAATTGATATATTATTATAGTATAGTATAGAATTCGATAAAATATATTCGTTCACTTAAAAATGTATAATATTGAATTTCTCTTGACATTGCTAGGTACTTATATGTTTTTCACAAATTATTTTTTAGCAACTGCAGTTACCAAAGTGTCAGAAACAAATACCAATGAAATATCACTTCCAACAAGCAAACAAACTCGGTATAAAAATATGAGAGAGAATAACACATCTTCAGATGCATCACTTGGTGAACAAAAAAGAGTAGGTGATGCCAGTGGTACAGAAGTTAATGTGGGTACATTAAAAAATGGTATGTTATCTAAATTTATAAAATTCATCTGTTTTCAATAACTCCCAACAAAAAAATAAATAGGTATAAAAATTAAGAGTTCTGGCTTACAGTTGTCAATTGTTTTTAAAAGCAATTGGTTGGTCATAATCTTGTTGTTTAAACTGCTGTTAATTTTATTATTTCTAATGTGACTATGGATATCTGTAATTAAAACTTCTTGAATATTAACATTTTAAACTATTTAATGGGAATATATAAATGAGTTAAAGCACAAGGGAAAATTTGTAGAGAAGTCACTTGCAACTTGATTCGACACTGGGTTGCATAATGTTTTTCATTATACAGGAGCATACTATAATTTTTTGAAATAAATTATTTCTGCCATTTATAACAACTTCGTACTACTATACAGGAGTTTCTTAAGTATATGTCAATATTTAAGAAGATTAATATGTCTATTTTTGTAAAAACTTGCTTAATGTTGATGTCCACACTTGTTACAGTGGCATGCTGCAGATTTTTTTTAATTAAAATTTGTGAATATTTGTAAAAACCAGTGAGATATACAAAAATAATAAGAATTTAAAAAAGTGCATTTATTGCATTAGAAGCTGCTCTCAGAAAAAATAGGAAAATGTACTACGAAATCCATAGAAGAGACTCACCAATTCATTTTTACATAAGGTGAGTGAGAAGAGAAGAGAAGTGAGAATCTGAGTGTTGGACAATATATGCCAAAAATTATTCTGCTTAATCCTGGTATCAACGTAAGAAAGAAGTTCATAAAACATAGACTCAAGAATGCTTTGTTTCCAAGATACAGGATGTCGAAAACTCGTAGATCCTGTATCTTGAAAACCAAACGTATTTGGAACTTTGTTCAGAAAAACTTTTTTCTTTCTAATTTTTTATTAAAATAGACACACCATTTTATGTTGTCCATTGTCTTGACACCTTCACTATGTAAAAGTTAATTGGTGGATAATTTTCATGTGTTTTACAGTAGTTGAGTATATTTTCTTAATTTTCTTGAAAGCAGATTCTCCTATTGCGTTGCTGCCCCTGTTGTAAATGCGGATATCACATTAACACGAAATTATTGGCTGTGGACCATTATAATTAATGGGCAAATATCATAAATTATGCAAATTTTTCCATGAATATTCAACATCTATATTTCAGAAGCAAAGCAATAACGGTCTTATGTCTATATAAACTTTTTTCGTTAAAATTCAAGGCAAATTAACCTGCTTAACCATTGACATTCGTTTATAAAACACTCTGTATTTACATCAAACTGCCTAGAAATACAAGGTGTCCTGAAATTAGAGGTAAATAGTTTAACAGAGACTCAAAATAAGATGAAAAGTAATATAAACCTTTGCCCGGAAATGTTTTATTTCTGACATACAGGGTGTTGAAATTAAAATTTTAATTTCAATTTTCTTAAATAGGTAACTTTTACGAAAGATAGGTACATTTTTCGCACAAAATTTGGTAACCGGGGTTTTTTTCAGGTTAGAAATCATAATTTAGTATTAATTTTTGTGCAGCACTTAGATGGCACTACATACACTATCATTATTAATTTTAATTTGCCATAACTTTTTTGACCGAAAACTTCTGAGATTTTTTATAAATAAATCTTATTCCTACACCTTTTCTACTAAAAAAAGATATACTTCCTCATCATTGGTAACCATTTTTGAGAAATTTGCAAATTTCTGCAGGGTGTTTAACATTAAAAAAAAANTTTATGTACCGTCACTGGCTCAAGTTTTCAACACACATTATGGAACACCCTGTATAATTCAGCAAATATGATAAATCAAAGAATTAGTAATGTTTTAGTATAATTTCGCTGAATATATGCATATATGTATAAAGTACCTATCTATCTATGTATATTAATTATTATTTAATGTAGGTATTTACGTTTCTTTTTACTCAATATATTTCACCAAATTTAGTGTGCTATGTGCTTAGATACTTTAACATGTATTGTATTTTTATATAATGGGTGTTTAAAAAAACTAAATATGTGATGAAACAGAACCAAATAGTAAGAAAATGGTTAGAAGAGATCATTTATGTCTAAAAGAGTGCCATGGCCCTATATTCCCTAGAAATTTGTTAACATTACATTATCCTAAATAATAATAAAAGAACATAAAACACATCAGATTTGGCTTAAATATCTCAATTTTTTTTGGAATGCATTTGTTTTAAAAGAAGTATTATTTTTCGGAACACTTCAGTTCTCTACATCACAAAACTGGCTTAAGTTTAAAAATATGTTNAGAAAAAACAGGGTAGGTAAAATCTTTTAAACACTTGGTAATTATATATTATAACCTAGATACTTTCTATGATTATAAATTAAGTAGGTAAAGTTTTCCAAGAAGTTAATTTATTTATTTCTCACTTTTTTATCTTAGAAATTGATATATTATTATAGTATAGTATAGAATTCGATAAAATATATTCGTTCACTTAAAAATGTATAATATTGAATTTCTCTTGACATTGCTAGGTACTTATATGTTTTTCACAAATTATTTTTTAGCAACTGCAGTTACCAAAGTGTCAGAAACAAATATCAATGAAATATCACTTCCAACAAGCAAACAAACTTGGTATAAAAATATGAGAGAGAATAACACATCTTCAGATGCATCACTTGGTGAACAAAAAAGAGTAGGTGATGCCAGTGGTACAGAAGTTAATGTGGGTATATTAAAAAATGGTATGTTATCTAAATTTATAAAATTCATCTGTTTTCAATAACTCCCAACAAAAAAATAAATAGGTATAAAAATTAAGAGTTCTGGCTTACAGTTGTCAATTGTTTTTAAAAGCAATTGGTTGGTCATAATCTTGTTGTTTAAACTGCTGTTAATTTTATTATTTCTAATGTGACTATGGATATCTGTAATTAAAACTTCTTGAATATTAACATTTTAAACTATTTAATGGGAATATATAAATGAGTTAAAGCACAAGGGAAAATTTGTAGAGAAGTCACTTGCAACTTGATTCGACACTGGGTTGCATAATGTTTTTCATTATACAGGAGCATACTATAATTTTTTGAAATAAATTATTTCTGCCATTTATAACAACTTTGTACTACTATATAGGAGTTTCTTAAGTATATGTCAATATTTAAGAAGATTAATATGTCTGTTTTTGTAAAAACTTGTTTTATGTTGATGTCCACACTTGTTACAGTGGCATGCTGCAGATTTTTTTTAATTAAAATTTGTGAATATTTGTAAAAACCAGTGAGATATACAAAAATAATAAGAATTTAAAAAAGTGCATTTATTGCATTAGAAGCTGCTCTCAGAAAAAATAGGAAAATGTACTACGAAATCCATAGAAGAGACTCACCAATTCATTTTTACATAAGGTGAGTGAGAAGAGAAGAGAAGTGAGAATCTGAGTGTTGGACAATATATGCCAAAAATTATTCTGCTTAATCCTGGTATCAACATAAGAAAGAAGTTCATAAAACATAGACTCAAGAATGCTTTGTTTCCAAGATACAGGATGTCGAAAACTCGTAGATCCTGTATCTTGAAAACAAAACGTATTTGGAACTTTGTTCAGAAAAACTTTTTTCTTTCTAATTTTTTATTAAAATAGACACACCATTTTATGTTGTCCATTGTCTTAACACCTCCACTATGTAAAAGTTAATTGGTGGATAATTTTCATGTGTTTTACAGTAGTTGAGTATATTTTCTTAATTTTCTTGAAAGCAGATTCTCCTATTGCGTTGCTGCCCCTGTTGTAAATGCGGATATCACATTAACACGAAATTATTGGCTGTGGACCATTATAATTAATGGGCAAATATCATAAATTATGCAAATTTTTCCATGAATATTCAACATTTATATTTCAGAAGCAAAGCAATAACGGTCTTATGTCTATATAAACTTTTTTCGTTAAAATTCAAGGCAAATTAACCTGCTTAACCATTGACATTCGTTTATAAAACACTCTGTATTTACATCAAACTGCCTAGAAATACAAGGTGTCCTGAAATTAGAGGTAAATAGTTTAACAGAGACTCAAAATAAGATGAAAAGTAATATAAACCTTTGCCCGGAAATGCTTCATTTCTGACATACAGGGTGTTGAAATTAAAATTTTAATTTCAATTTTCTTAAATAGGTAACTTTTACGAAAGATAGGTACATTTTTCGCACAAAATTTGGTAACCGGGGGTTTTTTCAGGTTAGAAATCATAATTTAGTATTAATTTTTGTGCAGCACTTAGATGGCACTACATACACTATCATTATTAATTTTAATTTGCCATAACTTTTTTGACCGAAAACTTCTGAGATTTTTTATAAATAAATCTTATTCCTACACCTTTTCTACTAAAAAAAGATATACTTCCTCATCATTGGTAACCATTTTTGAGAAATTTGCAAATTTCTGCAGGGTGTTTAACATTAAAAAAAAATCGATTTTTCAACACCCTGTATCTAGAGAACGAATCGATTTTCAATACATCTTTATAGGAAAACAGTTGTTTCTTCTAATGAGATCTACCACATACTTAGTTTTTGTAAAGTTCTGAGCAACTTCATGAGGCACCTAAGGGACCCAGTAATCTGCATTGATGCAGAAATTTGTAAATTTCTGGGAAACAGTTACCGCTAGTAATGTTGAGGAAGTTTTTTTCTGTAGAAAAGGTGTAGGGATAAGATTTATTCGTAAAAAAGTTATGGCAAATTAAAATTAATAATGATAGCGTATGTAACGCCCTCTAAGTGCTGCACAAAAATTAATACCAAATTATGATTTGTCACCTCAAAAAACCCCCGGTTACAATATTTTGTGCGAAAATTGTATCTTTCGTAAAAGTTATTTAAGAAAATCTAAAATAAAATTTTAATTTCAACACCCTGTATCTCAGAAAGGAAGGATTTTCGGACAAAGGTTTATATTGACTTTTCATCTTATTTTGGAGTCTACAATACACTGTTAAAATATTTAGGTACCTCTAATTTCGAGACACCCTGTATAATACACCAAATTTGAATAAAATGTAGTCTTCTAGAAATTATCTAAGAACATTTGTTTCTCAGAAAATGTTAATTTCCTGTAATACTCTGTTTTAGAAGACAATAAAACCAATAATGGCGCTAGAATAATAATAATAGAAGATATTAAAATAAGAGATAATCAAGATCAAGTTGACTACAGACATGAAACTGGGATAGGGTCTAATTCAGAATTTTTAAACAATACCTGGAAGGAAGGTAGGTTGTATTTAAGTCTGATATTTTTATTTTTAATTAGTCTCTATATGAAAAAGAAGTATTGTACATTGTACCTATATAATATACATGTATAGCAAATATGAATCAAAGAAAAACTTGGAAAGTGATGGTAAGTTAATGCTATAAAAATAAACTTTTAAATTATGATTCAATTTGAAATAGCACTAAAATATTACCATTCCTACCTAATTTCATTACCCCATGTCTTCTCGTTTTGGAAATATTTAGAAAAAACACTTTCAGAAGGTCATTTTTCAACTTATTTTTGGATTAACTATGATCTCCTAAAGTTTGATCCTTAGAACCTGACCACCCTGTACAATCAGTTTAATTTTAATTCACCGGTATTTTGTAGATAGTGAACTTCTTGATATGGATCCAAGGCATAAGGAAAAATTGTTTACAGAAGACTGTATGGAATCGGGAGGAAATTCAGATGATTCTTGTGAAATGCGAAATGATAGGCAAATTCCAAAAGGTAGATTGATTTAAGTTTATAAAATATTTACATTGTTCTTAGTAATGATTTTGACACAGGGTGTTCTGTAATGTGTCAAAAACTTTAGCCAGTGATGGTACACAAAAAAATATTAGGAAAAGTCCTTATTAACCCACCCTCTTAAACGCATTGTTTCTGTATAATAAACCAGTGGCGTGTAACCTCGGGTTACAGGTAAAATTGGGTTCAAAAAAATAAAGTTACATGCCAGGAGTTTATTGGATTACGATGATTATTATTGTGATAATAAAGCTCTGTATTAGTATGCATTATACCAACTTGGTTCATTGTTTTTCGAGATACGAATGAAATCATTTATTTTTTATTCAACTTTATCACCCTGTATCTCAGAAATGATGCATTTAAGAGAGTTCAGGTTCATAAGGACTTTCCTAATATTTTTTTATGTACCGTCACTGGCTCAAGTTTTCAACACACATTATGGAACACCCTGTATAATTCAGCAAATATGATAAATCAAAGAATTAGTAATGTTTTAGTATAATTTCGCTGAATATATGCATATATGTATAAAGTACCTATCTATCTATGTATATTAATTATTATTTAATGTAGGTATTTACGTTTCTTTTTACTCAATATATTTCACCAAATTTAGTGTGCTATGTGCTTAGATACTTTAACATGTATTGTATTTTTATATAATGGGTGTTTAAAAAAACTAAATATGTGATGAAACAGAACCAAATAGTAAGAAAATGGTTAGAAGAGATCATTTATGTCTAAAAGAGTGCCATGGCCCTATATTCCCTAGAAATTTGTTAACATTACATTATCCTAAATAATAATAAAAGAACATAAAACACATCAGATTTGGCTTAAATATCTCAATTTTTTTTGGAATGCATTTGTTTTAAAAGAAGTATTATTTTTCGGAACACTTCAGTTCTCTACATCACAAAACTGGCTTAAGTTTAAAAATATGTTCTCATAGTGATGGGAAATTTTCTAATCTGTGAAAATTCTTGGAAAAGTTTTCTAAAATATTGTTTGAATTTTATGACTTGCAAAATCATTTATAAACAGATTTGTTCTTCACCTTTATATACACAAAGGTATGAACCTTGCTGAACTAACCGGTGATGATCTAAAACGTTTTCTTTGGAACTAAACCGAATGCTAAACTGAATTTTGACGTGTTCATTCCAGTGTATACTTTGCACAGTAAATGGGCTATAATACAGGGTTCGTAGCGGCTGGGAATACCGGGAAAAGTCAGGGAATTTGTTGTTCTTCATAAAAAACAGGGAATAGTTAGGGAATTTTAAAAATATTCATGAAAGTCAGGGAATTTGATGTTTGCAACGGGAAATTTTGTGAAAGCTGGCCCTGGGTTCTTGAAAGAGAAAACTATTTGTGGTTTTGAAATCTTTGTTGTTAGGGTATAAAAAAGATTATAGAGTCCAATCGAAAAAAATTAATGCATAAACACCAATTAGTATGTAAAAATGAACTACAAGTGACCTGGATTTTTTTTATGTCAGGGAAAACCTGGAAAATTCAGGGAATTCTTTATTACTTTTGAACTATGAACCCTGTAATACTCATTTCCTGAACAGTTTCAAGACAGTTCTATACTGTAGACTTTATCCTGGATTTTTTTTTTAGCATATAAGTTATTTTTATTAAAACAAGCCACAAAAGTAAAAAGTCAGGATATCTTAATGTTTTTAGTACTTCTAAGCTCGCCTATATTTCCCATAACTCATCACTACATAGTAGCACTTATTACTTTCATTTAAGCAATCTATAGATGTTTTTGTAACGTAAAAAAATCTATTTCAGCTGAAAATTTATCCAGGCAAGGAGTTAAAAAGAACCATAAACGTCACTGTTGTCTTTACTGCAAGAAGAAAATTTTTCAAATAGTGAGACATTGGACTAAGGTCCACAAAGAAGAAGATGAAGTACAAACAATATCAAAATTACATGCTGCAAATCCTTTACGAAGAAAAAAAATCGATGATTTGCGGAGAAAAGGAGACTATGAATTTAATAAATCATGTAGTTTGAGTGACCTGATTGTAAGTAGGAAATCAAAAAAACAGGAAGCAATTTTTGTTCCTTGCCCATCATGTCTGGGTTACTTCAGCAAATCAAATCTTCGCCACCACGTACAAAAATGTTGTCCAGAAAAAGGAACAAGGCAACTACAAGGAAATTCTAGAAAATTAACTTATCACATTCATGAAAAAGCCTCTGATACACTTAGAAACATTATTACTCCTGATATGTTTCATGACGAAGTTACAAACCTAGTTTTTTTTGATGAGATATTAGTAATATATGGCAACTATTTATGTATAAAATATACGGAAGAACATTTAAAAAACCATATAAGAGCACAGTTACGTCTTCTTGGAAGGTTTATGTTGAGGGTAAAGGTACATGACTCCAACATTGCAAATTGCAAGCAGCTAATTAACTCCAAAAATATAGACACAGTCAGAAAGGCTGTTGATGATCTCGGTGCAATTAATCCTTCAACAAATATATATGAGCACCCGACTAATGCCCGTACACTTCTTATAGAATTAAGAAAACTAATACAAGTGGTAAAATCAGAAAGTGACAAAACTGATGATGAAATCCTTATGAAGAGGGCAAAAGCATTTTCTAGAAGAGTAAAACAGGAACTAGCACCATACATAAATCGTATCTGCAAAAATAGTGAGAATAAACTAAGGCGGGCAAAACGTCAAAAAGACAACATTTTACCAGAAAATGAAGATATTGGAAAATATCTAGATTATTTGCAGAAAAATATCTATCTAGCTGAGAAACAATTAAAGAAAAAATTTTCTGTTTCAGTTTGGACAGAATTATCACAATATCTAATGGTTTACTTAGCCGCTTTCAATAGAAAACGGCCAGGTGAGACACAACGAATAGAGGTCAGTGATTTTCAAAATCGGGAATGTGTCAACCCTAAAGATGTTGATCAACTTGATGAATGTGGAAAAATACAAGCCGACAAGTATGAAAGGATTGGTTTTCGCGGAAAACTGGGTAATTCAACTGCGCTTCTGATAGACAAAACAAAAATTTTACCTGGACTGAATTTGATTATAAAATACAGGGATAGAGCAGGTGTCAATTCGGCCAATAGGTTTCTTTTTGCGAAGCCTTCAAAAACAGACCAAAACTTNTATACAGGGTCGGAAAGTCCCCATGGTTCATCGGCCGTTACGTGAGAGCGATAAAGAAAGTCATAGAAATCCGTGCGATAGAGAAAGATGGCAATAATGAAGGCGTCTAATAGTCACCGCCCATTTCGCCCTTCCACAAGTAAGATCCACTTCTTATTTGTGGAAGGGCGAAATGGGAGGCGACTATTAGACACCTTCATTATAGCCATCTTTCTCTATCGCACGGATTTCTATGACAGGTACTTTATCGCTCTCACGTAACGGCCGATGAACCATGGGGACTTTCCGACCCTGTATATGGTAATGGGTAACAAAGGAGGCTGCCATTTTGATATACCTATTGCCAATCCTTCAAAATTTGTTTAGTGAAAACACTAAATCCCAAATATTTTGAGGGCGGCAAATATAAATATAAGAGCGGTGTGTAAATTTAAAAACCCATTTTATAAGAAATTAAATTATAACTAGTAATCTGTTTTAAAAATGTATTAGTAAGGATTAGGAAATTAAAACCAGAAAATATTAGTTCTACAAAATTAAGAAATCAAATCTGAAAACACTTATTTTTATCATATATTTTTTTTATTTATAATGAAGTAGAAGATAGTATTTATTTTATACTGTTAATAATTAATGTTTTACAATAATTCATTGCTAATAGTTTATTCACACTTAAAACATAAAAATAATAAATAAATAAATAATAATAATATATAGGGTGTTCCGTAATGAATAGGTCATAAAAAGTTGAATATAGAATATATCCAAATAGGGGTTCTGAAAATTAGTAAAAACTCAGATATCTCGATCTAAAAAACATAATAGCACTATATAATATATTTAACATATTTTGACTCGTACTGCCAGTATCCTTCTTGAGGTGCTGGCGAGTCTCCGTTGATGGTGAGTTGGCCTTCCTGGCGTTGTTTGTCCTTTATCCACTTGCTGACCTCATGGTCTCCAGACCTGGTTGATGGCACATGTTGGAGATCTGCGAGAAAAACCAGTGATCAATCCTGTTATTTACTCTTGGGGTAGCATGCGGTTAGTACAGGGAAAGGTTAGAGGGGGCCATTGGTACTTACCTAGAGAGATAGCTTGTTTATCCAGGGCTGGTTTGGCACCAGCCCATGACTCCTAACATGATGATGATTGTCTCCGTTCTCAAGGGTGTTTTCTGCTGCCTCCTGGGTTTCCTGGTGAGTCTCCAATAATTCACTTCCGTAGACTCTACTCGATTGGGTTCGCCCTCCTCATTCGTACGGATGACTAGGTGGTTATTTCATATTTTGACGTCTACTATCTTACTCTAAAATAACAAAATGTGTATGCTAAAATTTTTAATCTAAAACGTGTAGGTTACTTACAAATAGGTGTGTTCAGCCTGTAAAAATTTTCTTTGTCTATCTGCACTTGAGTCATTTCTTGATTAAGCCCAAACTGTTGCACAAGTGAAATATAAATTTTCACTCCCATTGCCATCCTTTGTAATTTTTCTTTTGGAAACAGATAACATCGAAGGCAAAGATGTTAACAATATATGGGATAAACTTGTAGGTTCAATCGTTTTTATTTCTGAAGTTGATGGTAAAGGTTCGATAATTTTTGATATCAATGGTTTGTTTTCATCTTCAATGTTCTTTTCAATAAAGGGAAGGATTCTTTTATGAGAATTTTCCGTTTTCCGTTTTGATATAATTATTATTAAAATGAAGGGAACAAATAAACATAGTCTTTGACCATGTAATGGTTTCATTCCATCCCATATCAATGGCAATAAGCCATTTCCCAAATATTTTTCCCTTTCTAGCAAAACTATAAAATATATTTTTTAAATAAACAAGGGAAAACAAAACAGCATTTAAAACATACCGAGAAAATGTCACTTCGGAATTTATAGGCACGAGTCTTAACATTTTTGCAGTTTCTATGGTTTCTAAGAAAGCATGACATATTTACAATATACACTATAATAAAACTGTGATATAATATTAAATTTTTAAATAAACCAGAATATTCTATACTGTGAATAAACCAAGTAAACCTCAAAATTAACTAAACAATTTCGACAACAAAACACAAAAATAAACAGGAGTATATAATGGCGGTCATTTTCCATCTTCTTTTATTGCATGTTACTACCGATGCGCGATTCGCACTTGTCAAAAAGCAGTAGCAGTACTAGCAGTATATCGTGCTTTCACCGTACAACGCTACATAGGGAATTAGCTCTATTATATATTTTGTGGAATTAGCTAAAGTCAACCACAAAATCATAAAGGCATATTTGGTATATACAAGGCTACCATATATATTTTTCAAATCATCGTTCTGTACCTGATATACGCAGGTCAATGCCCTTTGCATGCACATGCCATCTTCGCAACTGTATCGATATCAGACAATAAGAATGAGACGCCTTATTTGGATAACTACTGCTATAGTTTAGATTTGTATAATATTTTACACCTTAACCCACCTCCACATTTTTAAGCAAATTCTAAATTATAATTGGTACTGACGTTTTGTTGAAATACATGAAATACCTTGAAATCGTAAGAAATATATATAAACCATAAGTCAGCATTTGATGAAATGAGACAAATATATAAATAAGTGGCTCTAGTAGTCAAATATCCAGTTCCACCGCTTAACCAAAGTAGGTATTGTTAGATATCAAAAACTAATTGTTACTAAGTATATATAGTAAATATGTCTAATTTAATTCAAATAGCGCAGTCTTTTTATAGTTTACTGAAGATGACATTTCAAGTAACTTCCAGAATAGCGATTATGAAAATTATTAATTATAAAGAAAGAAATTACATCAAGTAGTGTGGTTAAGAGCAACTCCTATAGTATAGTATAGTAAATGTATTTTACCGCGACCTGAAATTTTTTTAGCGCGACTTTATGAAAAAATGTACTTCAAGTAGCGTGGTTAAGAGCGACTCATATATATAAGGTGATATAAGTTAAGGTGGTTTACTGCGACCTGAATTCTTTTAGCGCGACATTGCAACGTTGCCACGTTTTGGTGTGCTAGACACCAGTAGATATGTGAAAATTTCGGGGTACGGTAAACACCTGTATACATACATATATATATATATATATATTCAAATTCCCTTTTACCCTTAGGTGTCGGGATTACAAATAATTTCATATAATTAATTTCCTAACTATTTATATACAAATTTTCTCCATTGCTTTTNTATTTATATATATATATATATATATATATATATATATATATATTAGGACACTGTACCTAAATGTGTATCATCAGGGGCCTCCATTAGAAATTTTTTAATTTGTTCATTTTCTAAAACGCGTGATTTCTTAGCACGATCCTATTGCCGGTTCAAGCATACCTTTAATTTTATATTCTTTCCAATATCGATGTTGTTATAGACATTCAAAGTAGCTCTGAGCATCGCATATATTGACCATAATGAAGAACATTTCATACTTTTGCTTAATTCAGAAAAATATACCAATAGTACATTTTCTGAAAAAGACAATATAAGTAATCAATAATTTTTGTTTGCTAATATATTTTCCTCGTTTTTTCTGGTAATAAATTACACTCTGGCACAATAAAGGTACTTGTTGAGATAGAATTTGAAGAAGACCCCTGCGTCACTTTCTTGAAATTAACCTCATTCGATATCCGAGGTAGAAAGACATTGGCGGCTTGGCGTTCACCGAAGCAGCTTGCAGTGCATACTATGTTTTGCAGTTACGAAGGCGTGCTTCTTCGTAAATATATCTTGGATTCTATCTCAGCAAATATCGTACGTTTATAATCGTGTTATTATTGAAGAAAACTGCAGTTTCTTCGCTTAGAAACTATACCATAATTTTTTGCAGTGTAGGCTTTTAACACGTAAAATTACCTCTTCTGGGTGCAACCATGAGCTGCTAACTTTCCGTGACGTTTCGCTGCTCGTACAGCCACCTTCATTAGCTTCATCATTACCGATATAATTAAATTCTGGTATATTAATTTATTATTTAGCATATTACCTTCATGATGATTTAAAAAACTATGAATGTACCTAATTTATTCTTTTTTACAAGAAGTTAATCTGATATATCGAAAAATAAATAAATACTGAATAATATTCAAGTGCCCCTCAAATAAGAAACTTGTTTAATGATGGAATAAAGTATGTTGATTTCAGCCAATTAACGTATTTATGAAAATGTAAAATTATTCAAGACGGATGTTTATGTTTACGTTGAATGAGCATCAAATACCGAGTATAATTGTTTGTTTCAACAAAGCTCTAGCTTTAGACGAACAAAAAGTTTTGGGCCTTAAATCTGCAAAGGATTTATATACAAATAGCATAACTCTTTTTATAAAATGATTTCTTGAAGTTTCCAATTCCAACATTTTTAATCCTTAGAGTGTATTAATATACAGGGTATCCCATCGAAAACGTACCGCAAGGCATTACAGGGTAGTAAAGAACTTTTCGAAAAAATCCAAAAACAGGTCAAATTTGTTTCTGAGGAGGACAACTTTTGGCTCAAAAAGCATACCAAAATCTTCAACCCCCTAAGTGGGGGTGCTATCCCCTAGATTTTTTCAAATGGGAATGGGGGTCAAGTGGGGGGTCATTAGAAAGGGCTTTTAATTCTCTATACATCGATTCTTACTTTTTGAAAATCGATTCATTATTTTAGAAAATATGCAGCTTTGAAAATACGAACAATATTTTTGACGAGAAATGCGAAAATCGATTTAATTTTACTTCAAAACTTACGGTATTAGTCAAGTAAATGCTGAAAATGTTGTCCGCCAACTTGCATACAATGATACAGGTTGTCTTCAAACCGTTGTCGAACATTCTGGAGCACTTGCGGTGTTACTTCGCGACATACATTAATGATTCGTCCTCGCAGATCTTCCAAGGTATCAGGTGGAGTGCTGTAAACTTTGCTTTTAATGTGCCCCCAGAGAAAGAAATCTAAAGGATTTAAGTCGGGTGACCGAGGGGGCCACTCAATTGCACCTCTTCGTCCTATCCAGCGTCCTGGAAACGTCTCATTTAGGTAATTGCGCACATTGAGCGAGTAATGTGGAGGAGCTCCGTCTTGCTGGAAAATCAGTTCGTGTTCATTGTAAGCAGGGTCGTCCTCTATGATATTTGTTAGAGCTGGGTCGATGACATTTTGTAGTAAATCCAAGTACATATCGCCTGTCAAATTTCCAGGAAGGAAAAAAGGACCTACAATGGAATTTCCAAAAATACCTGCCCATACATTCAACTTCTGGGGGTGTTGGGAGTGTGTCTCATGGAAAATCCTTGGATTGGTATCAGCCCAGTAACGACAATTATGGCGATTCACTAAACCATTCAAGAAGAACGTACACTCGTCCGAAAAACACACATTAAAGAGGAAATTATCGTTTATCGCTCGTTCAGTCATTATTTCGCAAAATTGCAAACGACGATCAAAATCGTCTTCATTTAGCTCTTGCACTAGCCGAATCTTATAAGGATGGAATTTGTATTTTTTTAATATTCGTTGGACACTTGTACGACTCACTCCTGTCGCAGTAGCCAATTGCATTGTACTCAGCGTACTATCCATTGCCACTTGCCCCAATACCGCTATTTCCGTAGGTTCATTTAGTACCGGATTTTCAACCTGCCTCTTTTTGTTATGAACGGAGCCAGTTTCGCGAAATTTGGCCACCAATTCGCGAACAATTTTTCCAGACGCATGTTTCTCAGGATGCCGTTGGTTGAACAGTTCGGCGACCCGATTTCCGCATTCATTGTTTTTGAAAAAAAGCTCAATAATTTCTACTCTTTCTGGAATTGAGTACACCATAATTAATCAATTTAAAAGACTCGGCAGTATTGGTACTCTTCAACTACAAGTCACAAGACAGTTATCTAGCAACTTCTTGTGGCCTATCTAAATACGAAACAAAAAGCGGACAATTTTTTGCTCACCAAAATCAGGCTAAAGAATTCGCAAATCAGAAAAAAAAACAGCGAATTCTTTTGAAGGAATTTACCAAGCTAATACCGTAAGTTTTGAAGTAAAATTAAATCGATTTTCGCATTTCTCGTCAAAAATATTGTTCGTATTTTCAAAGCTGCATATTTTCTAAAATAATGGATCGATTTTCAAAAAGTAAGAATCGATGTATAGAGAATTAAAAGCCCTTTCTAATGACCCCCCACTTGACCCCCATTCCCATTTAAAATAATTTGGGAGATGGCACCCCCACTTAGGGGGTTGAAGATTTTGCTATGCTTTTTGCGCCAAAAGTTGTCCCCCTCAGAAACAAACTTTACCTGTTTTTGGATTTTGCCGAAAAGTTCATTACTACCCTGTAATGCCTTGCGGTACGTTTTCGATGAGCTACCCTGTATAAATAAATAACCATTTACAAGACCTTTAAAAATTGTCATTAATTGTTCGCGTATGTAGGATGTACTGAGGGTGAGTGCCCATTAAACTTGCTTTGCATACTTTGAGGGAGTATACGTACACGTATTATAATGAGTAAAATGTCTGAAATAATAAAGATAAATGAAGTATCGTGCATTAACGCTATTAGCTAAGTTAGGATTGATTATTCCTGTAAATAAAACGACAGATTCTGGGGTTTGAACACTGTAATTGCTTTTGTAATGCACACTATATGACGTCACACACCTCTTGTTTCCAAAATTTATTTTCGACATACGGACTTCGGACCATTTACATTCAACGCAGAAGGGTCGATCAGAAGTAGCGGTGTGGGGAGATTTTTTTAATTATTTTTTTGATTCAACTCACCGTTTCCAAGTTATAAGACCTTTTTTACTGTATCACCTCACACATCTCTTGTTTCCGAAATTTATTTTCAACATACGGACTTCGGACCTTTTGCATTCAACGCAGAAGGGACATTTTTTCAATTATATTTTCGATTCAAATCACCGTTTCCGAGTTGAGTTATAAACACTTTTATAAACACTTTTGTATTCTATGATGTCACACACCGTTGGTCCTGATTTTTTTTTTCGACATGCGTACTTCGGGCGTTTTTCACTCGATTACCAATTAGAACCATTTTTTGGTA